GTTGCCCTGAGTAGGCTTGGGTTCCGAGAAATGACCACGATATTCTCGGAGATGGCCTGTAAAAACCAGACACGATGGCTTGCTAAAGCAAAGACACACACACAACACACCTGATATATAAGGACTTTATCAGTGGCGTTCAGGCGAGAGATATTTTTGGGATTTTTTCGGATGCTAACAGACGTTATGCCATGGCTACTAATAGGTGAAGTAAACTTTGCCATGTGGCACTAAAAACACTTGAACCCTGAATGACGAAAGCAGTAGGTACTTATGCATTGAACACAGAAAATATTTTTTTGAAAATTTCCCTTTACAAGAACTTGAGACAGGTGCGGTTCAAACTATTCGATCGCACAAGCTCATTTCGATCTCCATTATTTCATTATCAATTATGTCCACGTTTCTACGTGATCACGTTCAAAAAGAACGCCACTGAGACCGTTTCACGACTCCACCAGGTCCTTGCTATCGCCTACATTTTATTTTATTTGTGTAGGTACCCAAATTGCCATTTCAGCATACAAAATGGTTTTCGAAAATTAAATAAACACTGGGTCCTTAACTACGTCGTTCGAGCTACTCAAGGCCAACCGAACCTTTGTGTCACTTTTTGGACAAGGTTTTCGTAGTTTTTTCGGTTTTCGCTGAGGGTTAATTAGAGCACAGGTAGATCCTTGACTTGGGGTTAAGATGTGCTCTAACATGTTTGAACTAGTGGATTTTGAAGATGTGGTATTTGGGACTGAGATGATCGTAAGGTCCATATATGATTGTTTAAAAATTCATGTGGTTCCTGATGGCAAAACGGTAGTTGTTAGCCTTGAGACGATTAAATTAGATTAAATTTTCTTTTGTTGGAAGCACTTAACGCAAGTAAGCTTCAGATAACCCGAATAAATTTTCCGTTAATTTCATTGCAATATTGATAGCATATCTGATATTAATCCAAGGTGACACATTTCTTAACTGAATAAATAAATTGCGGGATCATGGCCAGTCGAGGTGCTGCAATTTTTGTCTATTTTCTGATCACCCCATCTCAATAATTCGGGTAATTTAATAAGGAACAATGTGGATAAGAAATGATTGCAATGGTGAAGCAATTCTAGCCAGTAGGAAAATTGCAGTGACCTTGTGCTAGATTTAGCGGTAAAAATTCAGCGTGTAATATACAGCTAAAGTCTGTACATTTGTATATGAGACAAAGAACTGCAATGCAGGAGTCAAATGAGAACTTTCAATCCAAGCATTGCGAACATTTGCGATTTTGACTTCTTTCATGTGTGAATTTACTTCATCTATGGAAGCTCGATTGCATAATGTTACCATCAGACCTCATTGTTATTGCGTTGGCTTTAAAAAATGGATTGAGTGAATAGTAAGTCTTTATTATTACCCAGCTTATTTATAGTATCTGAAAGTTTTACACTTTGTCTTATACCTCGCTTGAATACTAATGTTTTACGGGACCTTAAACCACAATGTTTGAATTCGTAATATTTCAGAGCAGGTAATTTCTTTGTTTATATGAGTCCTTCTGATCTATTGACGTGGGAAATATAATTATGGACTTTCTGCCACTTGGATGAACGATCAAGGCATGTTAGACGCGTATTTAGGAAAATTATGGATTTTTCAATATTACGCAATCTCATAATCTATCTGTATTCAATTGCAAGCACACAGATTTGTGTTTATAAACACAGATAAGGTGTTCGTTTCTTCAGCCATGTAATGTAAGTTCGTGATGGCCTTGACATTTGTGAACATCTGCACACTGGAAAAAATTTCGTTTCAAAATATGTGCCGTTGGCAAACGGCCTTGATTTTTTCGCGATGCAAGAATATGATGCAACTGATTTTGTTGATGGTTGACTTGAATCCGTCTTTCCGTATGCATGCATACGCGTCTAATGATGATTTTTCCTGAAAACTCGATCAACAGTCACAAACTGATACAGCAACAGAAAAATTGAGCCAATAAAATATTGTACACAAAACTATTGAAAAACGCCTTGTGGAGTGTGGATTCTCTAACTAAAACCTAAAAAGTCATCACTAACAATATGTCAACAATAGTAACGTTGCTCTTTAGTTCTTATGCAAATAGACATAAAGACAACAAGCGAGTTTTTTTAAATTTGAAAAGATCTTCCAAATAAGAACTAATCATTTGTTCCGAATGGTAAAAGCCGTTCAACACCAATAAAATACGTGATGTTTTCGCAACCTGTCCAAGTACCTAGATAATAATCATTCCACTTTTAGAGGACGAATTATCATTGCACATTCTAATCAAATGAGTCAGTTTTTTGTCAGACAATTGTCTGGTTTCCATGAAAAAGGATTATTTTCGCCAAGGAAAATTACGAACAACGTAAAATCGAACATCTGATCAGATTACGCCACAGAAAAAACCAACGCTGTCTCATATTTAGCCCCGATTGCATATTTTGCTTAATTGTGCGAACATCAAGACTATTCAGCTAACTACGCAATGTAAACAAAGTTTTATATGCATAGGTTTAGGTGAACATCACAGAGTTTGCATACTGTTTTATGTTGGTGCTGTTGAATGATTCGAACGCCAGGCGAGTTTCTGGGTCTGAGACGATATCGAGGGACCTAAGCAGGTCGAAACCTGTCCTAACTTTTGTGACTGTTCTACTCACTTTGCAGGTGTTACTTATTACTTTTCATCTCTTTCTTTACACTGACCGTTTCACTATTTTATTCTAGATTTTGCTTAATCTCTCTTTTAGCAACGATAGCGTTAGTCATGCCTAAGAGACAAAGGGTGACATCCTTTGTCTGCTTATTATGCAGGTTTATGCCTCTAGTAGAGTTCCTACTGGCAGGTACTTATTTCGTGATGACTTTTGTAGGCCCTTTGTTATTTAAATGATAAACAGTTATACCATTTTGATTTCCGAAAATTTGCCCTTATAGAAATTGATTTAGGAAAATGTTTGTTTGTGTGATAAGTGCGATAACGAAATTCAGCCCAGACTGCTTGTCACCTGATAAAGCACAATTTATCTATCATCACCTTACTTAATGAGTAAGAATAGAATGTGTATAAGACAATATGGGAAATACTAATAAGCGTACGTGCTCTTTGCAATGTATGCTTAATAACCTATGGAGTTTAGTGAGGGTTTAAGGCTTTAAGACCCAATTTTCTGGAGTGAAGAGAGAGCAAAGTTTGCGTCAGCAATTTGGTTTTCTGATGCAAATCGGTTCCGTATCACCTAGGTATATTAAAACGAATTCGCCACTGACATTCTATTACCTATGAACTATTAGAAACTAGAGTAAATCAGTCAGTGGCAAAATGTTGTAATCACTGCCTCGATCATCAGCAAACCAGAAGACAAAGCTGAGCTAATAAAGAGGTTGATGCTCGCCAAGAAGCTAATTGATCATCACCTGATATTCCCGAAAGGACCTATCAGTTTCACTTATCGTTTTTGTCCCAGATTTTTCAGTTCTTGATGAGTCGAACGTCTGTGACTCATCAAGATGTCATCAATGTTCGGCTTCAATTTTACTTATCTAACCATTTTAATTTCACCTTGCAGTGTTATTTTTCTGCTGAATATCAAGGACTGAGATGAACTCGGCACTCGCATACGTTTCAACTATTTGTCGAACTAGCAGGCAGGGCCAGACGCCGTGGTGCCAACGACTGATAGGTAAAGATCAGCGACATTTCCCAAAATCTGGGTTCATGTTTGTTGTATGTTATAACTTCCAACGAATTTATTAGCAAAATGTCTTTTGTTCTGGGATTATTAAGATTTACGTAAACCTGATAATATAACGGCAAGGAGCATTCACCTACAGTTAATGCACGATCACTGTTTTGTCATTAATTACTATAATTTCTGGGTGTTGAACGACAACCGTTTATACCAGAATTTTCGTTTTAATTTTAAATCTGGTATGCCACTGCAACCAAGTCAAACCGAACACCAAATACTTGTGTACACCTGGATGACTCATCTTCAGTGATTCAGAATTGGGAAGAGTAGTTTCGTAATAATTATGTGACCAATTTATTTTGTTTGTCTTGTATATTTACTTAGGTTCAGGTTCTTGCCTTAGTTGTCTACAGTTTTTCTCCAGCTGATTTTTTTATTTTGTTGAGAATGGAGTTTGCACGTCAATTTTTTCACATAAGCAAATTGTTATTAAACTATGTTGAGTTCAAATTAAGAACTAATGAAAATTTAGCAACTAGGTATATTATCAAAGAATTAATTAACTTAAAAAAATGTTGATCATCTTTTGAACAATTACCATTTGCTGGTTGCTTAATTAATATTTTTTTACTCAATATACGGGGTAACAAAACAATGTATTATCCATTCCCATTGATCTAGAATATAAGAAACGGCATGCAAAACCAAAAACAATAGTGTTTAAATTACAATATTTGTGGCAGTTGCGCTAATTCCGCAAACCTAAATCAGTTATTGACTATGTTGATTGGAAAGCTTTCATAAATCACATTTTTTTAATTTGCTAATTGCCAACGGAAAACAAAAAATAAAGCCCTTGGCGTCTAGAAATGTTAGATTTAATACTTTATTTTTTTTGCGTTTAATTTAAGTCGAAATCGACAACTAGGAATTTAACTTGTTGTCTTCAAATTCAAAATAGCCCATTTCTGTTGATTCACAACTATTGCATTAATAAGACTTTACCCCAATTAATATATTCCTATGTCCTTTTTCGGACACAGCACCACAAGCAAAATATCATTACTCTTCCTGATAATAATATTTTTTTAAACTTGCAGATGAACTGATTGTCGCTGATGTTCTAGTTTAAAAAATAAAGCACGAAACGCAGAAATCGTACACTTTAAGCATAATTTATTAAACAAAAAAAATGAATTTAATGTTATATTCAAAATTGGCAAAGGTGACTGTCAAGAGGTTATCGCCTAAGTCTAAAGCGCGGAAACAAGATACCCTAGTTCAGGTTTGCCACCCAAACCTAGTGAAATATCAGTCATAGCTGTGAACTAACAACAAAGGTTTAGTATTTCTAAATATATTTGGCCAATATTTTGCTGTGTTTTTGAAAGCCACGCCTCTAACGGCAGCCGATTGGTAGTCGGAGGAAAAACACGTTTCGCCCTTCAGCGCAGCAGTGTAGGGACGCAAATCGCTTGTGAGGCTTTGGCGGGGTGAAGCTAGGTAACCGTGAGAGTCGGAAATATAGCATTCGTGATAGCAGTGAAACACAGTTGCTTTATCTGCGCGCAGTGAGAAGCACACAGTTCAAACTTCGAACAGACTTCGTATCGTTCGGACGTGTTCTAAGCCGAGAAGTAGTCGCGTGCCATCGCGAGTTTAGAACTTAGTGTTCTGTGTTCGAAACTAGTATTTTTTTTTGTGATTAAGTTCGCCGATATGGCAGTGCCGTTCAACATCCCTGAAGATCAAAGCGAGGTGGAAGTTCTTCTCATCCAGCTTCAGACGATTCTAAATAAGCTTCAGGCGACTGTGCGCCAAAATCATCAGTTAGCACAACAACCAACAGCATCTATTCCTAGCGGTAGTCGAGGTAAGACAGATTTTTTGCAAAAATTTTATTTTTTCCCGTTTTTCAAAAACGCGCCAAAAATACATCGAATTGAGTAATGCATCGCCTAAACAAGTCAAATCTGTGTGTAATGCAACATGTTTTGCACGAGCTTCAAGGCCAGGAATTCATTGACACTAAGCGCGAGACCTGGCCAGAATTAACCGCAACACTTAACATTTTGCGCGGGGCGGACTTATCCCGTCCTCAAGGCCAATAACTTATTTTTTTGGAAACTTACAAAAAGTTCGTGTTTTCACCACTTCAACAGACACTTTGTCGTTTTAACATATTGCGAAATTAAGCGTAATTCCGTGAGGTCAACGATCGCGTCAACGACGTTGATCCCAAACATGTTCACGCTTGTTTACTACCAATTTGAAAATTTCTCATATAAATTTTTTTTCTGATGGGGTTTTTGAGCACAATCATTTTTCCCGCCAAAATTCATATAATCTCCGCAAGATCGCCATTATACTATCCAATAGAAAATGCGTAGTTTGTTGCCAGAAACAAGCTTGGATAATTTGAGTGAATTTTTTGCAACAAGCTCAAGGGAATTTTTTTTTCAGTACGCTATTCGCCAGACGATAGAGTTAGGAGTCGCGAAGTCTTGCAGTCTGTTGAACGCATTACTCCTGTACCTCAAAATGTACTCCCTGATCTTCTGTCCAATTTGTCCTGGCTGGCCGACTCTTCTAATGAAGCTTCAAGCTCTTCGTCACCTTTAACTGCCATGTCCGCACGATCTCGGCGAAGAAGAACCGCTTCTGAATCTTCTAATCCCGATGAAACTAAGATCTCCGTCACTGCCATTGTTACAACCGACTTTTGTGCTCAAGATTGGAACGAGGTAAGTTCGCTTGTTGTGTGCCTCTATGTTGCTTATTATAGATTTTGTTTTGGGTAAAATAGTATTAGCACCCGAATGTTTGCCTGGCCTCGTCAATCGTTGGCTTCTGAGAGCATACTTTCCTGAGACTCAGAAACCGCATTGATGCGCTTGATATATTATTTGTGGCCTGTAACTTAGCTTTTTTTGCACCAAATTCGACATTTATTTTCCACTGCTTCATACAGCTAAATCAAAACATAATCGTGGGATTTACTATCTTTTGCTTTAGTGAGTCGTAAAAACGTACGCCAAGAATTATTATATTATCGCACATGTAGGCGTTTATCGCACAACTGTAAAGAATTAATATCCCACTTTCAGGCCTACGTGAAACCGAATAATTTTATCTCAACTTATTGGACATGGCGGTTTTGTAATGTTGAATAAGTCAATTTGTGTATGTTTTGACCCGTTGGATGCACCCTGTATGATCATTACAAACCCCGTAAATTTTCGAATAAACACATGGCCATCATACTCCAATAAATTGCGAAGGCTTGATATATAAAATTTGCATGAACTATTTAAAATATTTCTGATCGGCAATGTTGGGAAAACGATTAAGCCTGAAATTGCACTAAACTATTTCTAAAATTAAAATATATGAAATCACGCCGCCCGCAGTGCTTAAATCAAATTAGCCAGGCGATTTTCCGCTGTAAACATGTGTAATTAAACCGTTTTAAATGCGAGAGCAAAAAAGAGACGAATCAAAAAGCAGTTAGATAACATCATATTTGCCAAACAAAGAAAACTGTGAACGTGTAATGTAAGCATTGGAATAAATATAATTACATTATAATTATCTGTAAAACGGTAGCCAAGGTCAAAAATGCATATAGCCGAGCTATTGTCTTTTCCCATAACAAATAAACGACGTAGTAGAATAAGAAGTAAATATCATTGGTTTTGCAATCATTTATCGCGAGAAGAATATTCCGAAGACCATTATCGTATGTAGTGATTAGGTAACCAGAATAAAATGCGACATTTCCTTGTGTGCTTATAAATAAATTGTACGTACTTTCCTGACTGTGTTTCAATTCCAAATTAAAATCAAATCCTGGGTTCTTCAGTCATTTATTGTCTATTTATCAATTAAAAAAACGTTTCGGTGTTTTCCACCATCATCAGTTTCAATGTGTAGCGTTGTTGCTACTTTACGCCTTGGCATGTATTTGGAGTATTGATTAGACTTATAAATAAAGTTATCAGTTTTTTTCAAACGTTCATAAATTAATTGAATAACTGTATTTGCAGAAAAACTGCGTGGACAGTGGGACTTCAAATGTAATACCAGCAGATGGATTGTTTTCCAAATTAATACCTGGACCTGTCTCGTCCTGCTCGCTGATGACAGCAATGATTTGTTTCGTGGGCTGGCATATATTTCGAGCTCGGTAAGCCTCAATGAAACATTTGAGGCTCCGTGCACAATTTCACCCAAAGTTAAAGTGATTGAAAAGGTAGTTAAGAATTTTTGCATCAATATATATTATGTTTTTGCTTTTATGTTGTTTTCCATATTATTCTTTCGGTATGTTCTAATTTCCATTTATATAGTATTCTCTACATAAATATACTGAGTGTTAGGTTAACGTTAGGAACTTATATTAAATAAATATTTTCCAAGCAAATAAGAAAATCTTGTGATTAGGTGTGGTATAGGCTAGCCGCACCCGTTGTTATATAATGTGTAAAATTCAGATTTTATATTTCTTGGAATATGTTTCAGGATTAATTATGATGTTATACGCAGGTCATTTGTCAATTTAGGGCAGTCTGTAAAAGTAAATAATCGCATTCATATTTCGCCGCAGTTCCAAAAAAACATCGATTGTCAATTAACTTTCAAAAAACGTCAAAAATAGTGTTTCCATGATTACAGATTGCCTTAACGGAAATACTGTGTTGGTGTTCCAAAGAAAGAAAAATAAATCAAAGTTTCTGATCTCATTCAGTTAGGCCTCAGCCAAAGACGGCAGGTCTGCACTCAGGAATTTTTATATTTGTACTTAGGTGAAATTTTCAGTTGTGCTTTTCGCTCAGCTTCATAAAACGAGAATTTGTTGATTTAACTCCTATGGAGCCATTGTAAAAATATTCGGATTAGTCTAACCTGTCTACAAAAATGGAAATTGTACCTTTCGAAACTTAAGTGATAAAAAAGCCCGCGAACTAAACCCGTAAATGTTGTAAACAATCCGAATTATTTTCAGTATGTAAATACATTGTATGATTCTCATTCTGTCGACGTAATGTAATTATTTGTATATAAAGTGGAAAAATTGTCAAAAGTTAGATTCATCAGAGCCAAAGAAAGCCTTTGCAGTGCCAAAAGGGCCAATTTCACTTAATCTTGTCTTGCTGGGTAAAATAATGTTCTTGAACATGATTTAAAGAACAGGTATTTTATCCAATAGTATTTTGGAATACAATAACTAGTTATTACTGGAATAACCGCTTTTTCTGCCAATGAGTCTGACTGTCGATTTGTGTATAAAATGGAGCAGCAAAGGTACATTTTACTTTGCTGTCCTTAAAAGGTTTTCAAATGATCTCCGTAGTTAGAATAGAGGTGCGGCCAGGGAGCTGGAAATTAACAGCTCGCACCTACAGGGCAATTTAAAAACTTCAGTCACTATTCATATAAATTCTATGCTCAGTCAGTCAGTTTTACTGTATTTTCATCACAATGTCATAAATAATATTAACCTGCTAACGAATGTCTCAATTTTCGCACATTTTTAAATTGCCCTGTTTGATTGTACATATTGAGGTTGAGTCTGCATAAAATTTAAGGGTTACAGAAAGGCTTGGCCTCAACCATGCATGTTATATAGCTTTCTACTTTTTTACTACTTAAGGAATAACATAAGTATATGAAATGCCAATATTTTTAACATAAAGCAATGATATGTATTTTAAGTTTAATTCTAAGTTTTGAATGTGGCTTTTTGTATAAAGCTACCGCTAGAATTAGCTCTTCAAAGCACCTCTGTGATTACGCCTCATCGGCATTATAAATGTAAAAGAGACTTCCCGAGTAATTGGGACTTTTACATATACTCCTGTTTTCATTGATCTCTGAAGTATTTTGACACATTATTTGGTAGGATTTACGTCCCTAGTCAGTAGTTTGGGGGGCAAAATCACTGAAAAATCTCTCGAAACTATGAGTAACAAAAAACAACTTGTTTCATCGCAACAATCATTCAACGAAAAACCAATGATTTTGCCCTAAATAGTCGTTGTTTTTCTATATCCATGGCTAGGTTCTTATTATTTCTGTATATCTAAGTTTAAAATAGAAGTGTGTTATTTGTTTATCGATTTTATCATCATTTTATGTATAGATGTACGTTGCCAATTGCCATATGAATTCATTGCTACTATAAAATAATATAGATACAATACTTTATAAAAACTTTTGTTTGCTTCACAACGCCCATAAACAACTGATTTTCGAGATTGGTACAAAAATTGTGTGTTTTTGGTCCAATTGCATTACCATAAAATATTTTACCAGCAAGTGTTAATGGGTTGTTTATATACCGCTTCTTAATCAGAACTATCCTTTAAAACTGTTATCAAATACTGTATCTCAATCTGAAAAGTTTTAAGGGTAGCGCTGAATATCATTACCTGACTTGGACCAACAATGACCATTTGGGCCTGTGATACTAATAGTCCAAATCGGTTGCTTCTAATTTTCTGAGTTGAAAATAGCTTACCTATATTATTTCAGATATAATAAATGTCAATGTTTTATATATATTCAATACATATATATATTTACTATATTACTATATTTTTGTGATGTATGGAGAGAAAACTGTTTAGGTTTATTTCAGTTTTCTTAGCTGCGCATGTGTTGTAAGATTTTTGTGGGCTTTGTAGCCGTAAACACAGATCTCGACCTACGTCTTTCACAGTATAACTTTTTCACTTTTATATAGTTGAGTTGAAATATATGTAAACATGCCGAAAGATACCTGCGTCGTTTTATTACCATCTCCATTCTAATTGGAGAAGGTCACTTTCTTCGAGTACCAATAAAAATAACTGTGCACTGTTGTATGAGACGAAACTAAGTTATTGTCTAATAAAACATAATCAACAATGTGCTCAGTTTTGAAACGAAGTTTCTATGAAATTTTACAATCCCCAGAGCGGCCGACAATGATCATCAAAAAAACCTATAAGGTATTGTTGCAAACCCCAACCTTTGTATGAAGACGAAACAAATCCCAGGATCTATCAGTTATCCGAATTCTTTATTTTTATTTTTATTATTATTATTTATTTTATTTCTTAATTTTTTTTTAGAAACTAAGAAACTAACTCTGCTTTTTAAGCTAGCTCATTCTAGGTAACTAAGCTCAGTCGATTCCTTTCGACCTAACAAGGTCACAAATATGCATTTATAAAGTGTTTGGGTCAATAATAAGGAAAAAATCGTAGACTAAAGATCGTGAATGTCAAAAAACTCTTAAATTGTGCCGAAAATTTCTATTATTTCGGATCTGAAACTTCTAGCATGTTTTTCAATGAGTTCGATGCATTCTTCGCGTCCGTGAGCTGAAAATTATGTAAAATTTAAGACATTTTGAGAAAATCTTCATTTTTTCAAAAAATCGACCCCCACCCTTGAAAATTTTCGATCAAAAATCAAAATTTTACATGCGTGTTTTTGGAGCTTAATCGATTCCTTTTGACTTAAGAGGGTCAGAAATATGCATTTATAAAGTGTTTGGGTCAATAATAAGGAAGAAATCGTCGGCTAAAAATCGTGTGCGCTCAGAAAACTCTTATGTGCCGAAAATTTCTATTATTTGGGACCTGAAACGTCTAGCATGTTTTTCAATTAGTTCGATGCATTCTTCGCATCCGTGCGCGGAAAATGATGTAAAATTTAAGGCATTTTGGGAAAATTGTAATTTTTTTGCGGCATGGCAAAGAGCCAAGTCACCCCTCAGAACCTTTGATGCCGAATCCGATTACGTTACTACTGGTACTCGCTCAGATTAACTACATCAAATAATTAATTGTGACCGGAACTGTGAACTGCGCTTTGCAGTAAACAAGCACGACCACATCGCATTTCTCTTTACATTCTTATTCTGTCAGTTTCGTTGCCATGTTTTTACATTCACATTTATAATATACAATATAACATGATAATTGTAACATTTACAGATGGCGGATTTATAACAAGCCGTGTATGGTACACTATTGTCTACCAATTTCTATACCTGGGCGAAAAGCTTTTCGTTTAGTTCTTTTCGACTGCAATACAATTTTGTAAATGCACATAAATAACTAGCCCCCCAAGGAGACGAAAAAAAGGTATAAGACTATCCCCCACTAAGCTGATTTAAAGTTATTGGTCACGTCAACATATTATTGGTTTGTGGGTATTAGGGCAAAATAGCTGGAGTTTCTTTCAATTTAAAGTTGAAACGAAGGGTGAGGGCTTGAAATCAGGTGTAGGCTTTCCGATAGGTCTTTGTATCGAAGATAAACTCAACTTTGTTAGGCTTGAGCTGGAAAGAGAATTGTTTTGAGAAGTGTTTTAAATGTAGCTAATTTTCAATCAAAATTACGCAGCTTGACTGAAGTTATTAAAATGAACCAGTTAAGAAACCCGCTCCGCTCTGGCAGAAATGCAATGAGACACTGTATGTTAATAAAATAATAAAGTTTTCAGCAATTGGCCTTTATTGAGATAACGCAGCCCACATATTAAATCACTTTATAAGTATTAGTAAAATAGAGACGGTTAAATTATACTGGCAATAACATCTTCATTTCTACTAATTGAACATCTTTTATGGCATGACCCAAATCAAAATTATTTTTTACGACTCGACTTTGATTGACAAAATTATTTCGTATCTTAGTTCGCTTTAAATCGCTCTTACACACAAGTGGATGTGCAGACCAACGAATGAACATCTGCTTAGAATAAAAAATGTAATACCTTCTCAACATGTTTCTTTTCATGGCACCAAATTAACTTTGCGATGACAGATATCACGTACTTCATTACGGTTTCACATCTACAACATTAAATTATGGATCTCAAAAGATTCCCACCTTTTAATGTAGTCACGTGCTAGTAACTGCTGGTAAATTAAAAGAGGGTGGTTTTACTAGGCAATCTGTCAACCAGACCTGCGGAAAGGCTCTGTTTCTTCTCAAAACAAAATAATTTTAAATAAAGTAAACACGTCCCGAACCACATGATGCAGGTCTAGTGGCACGAGTTCACATATAACAAGTTTTTTAATGGTTATTCTTTCTATTTAATTTTCTTTTCAGCTGTGAAACAGAGCAATAATCCCATATATTTATTTCCCCATTAGATCTCGATTGAAGTTATATGTTTCCACCTGAATTTAGATTGCAACAAAAAGCGCGCTTGGAGGGTATGGTTGGTTTAATTAAAAATTGTTCTAATCCAGAAAAAGCTCGTTTCTCATAAAATCCTTTATAGTCTTTTGAAAGTTCTTTGTTCTCTGACTGAGGACGCAACACATTGGTGCTTGGACAAGCAGCGTAATTTTCTGCTCGATTATAACAGCAAGAAAAATATTATTTCATGAGAGTTGCGGGAAATACCAATTTCCAAATGGCCTTATCCTGAAATGAAGTGCTGCGAACATCGCTAATAAAGTAAACTTTATTACTATTGACGTCAACTTTTTAATTCCCACGCTTTCACAGGGTAGGGATTCGGGTTTTTACATTAAGACATCTTATTCAGCTAATTGGAAAATATAATAAAGCCTATAAACAACTTCTTTTGCTAGAATGAATTACTGTTACTTGCCGATAAAGTATATGCATCGGAATGATGATGTCCTTGGTAGGCCTTATATGACTTCAAAGATGTTTTACAATTACAACTTTGAATGGCTTTTAGAATGTCGGTCTACTGTTATTTATCATAAAAGGAGTCGTTGATGAAGATAATTGGCATACTTTGGAAAGAATTGCAAGTTGATTTAATTTTTCAGATTAAAATCTTCCTGCTGCCGCCAACTTGCAAGCCAACACTTTGCAATGACAAAGCACTACTACGTCAAGACTCACATAATTGTCTTTTTAGTTATCCAACAGCCCTCCGCTATTATGCGAATGTCTCTGACACGTGTTAGGGGCAGCGTTTGCGTGAACAATCATTTTATTCCAACTTACTCATCTCCTAATCTTTTTATTTTCTTTTCCGATTTCCTCTGATGGTCACTGCTTCTGGTTAGGGTGCCTAGAGAGGTGAATTCATTTTCTTTATGGAATTCTCATGTTCTGCCAAACACATTTTTCCAATTGTTCTCCAAGAGCCATTCAATGGGATTGCTTTACTGGAACATGTTGTCTTTCACCCTTAATCCTTTTGCTTCAAAGCGTTCGCTTGTACAGGGTGGTTATTATATTTGTTTCTGTATCCATAAAAATTTTGCTATTTTCACTATTTTTAGGACTGGACTGTATTGCTAAAAGTCTCGATATCTTATGACCGTGCAAAGGCATTCATACAGCCATCAAAACTGACGGTTTCAGAAAGGTCTATTTAAGTCTACCTATAAGGTTTGGAAGCTATGCATTTTCTGGTCAGAACATGAGTAGGAACATCTGGCTTTTTCACGATCGACCCGTTCCACCCAAATAAAAGCAGTATTGACTCTAAATGCGAAGAGAAGCCCAATAAATAAACCCCATTAGCTTCGGTTACCTTTCAATACGTGATTTGGGGAATTGTTGGTTCTTAAACAAGATTAACCTGGACTGAAATCTATTAAAGCTAGACGAAGCAAATCATCGCTTTCAATATAATCGCGAACCGAGGCAAGTTCATTTATCAGCATTCAGATTATTTTAATTTCGATTAATGACTTTTCGAATGACCATTAGTTAACCCTTTAACCCTCCATTGGATCAATGCAGGCTCGGAGTCAGATTTTTTTCTAGTCCATCCTGAAGAGCAAACTTTTGATAAATCTAGACTTTGAAATGGCTCTTGAACATTCGCAATGTCCGTGTATTGCTAATTTCACGCCACGAAATTAACTAGCTTCTTGTTGTTCATCTGGCAAATTTTCAAATCAATTATTTCAAGTGCTTGGTAGAAAATGTTACGAAAAATTAAAAAGTAATTTAAAATGAAAATCAGTCCCTGATTTGTGATGCTGCATCGGTTAACAAGACCTATAATTTGAATCATGATGTTGACACAAAGCCCCGAAGTAATCCGTCACAGCAGTCCAAGCGACCGTAACTTTTTTAAAACTTAACAAAGGGAGTATCAGCACATTAGGGGGAGGAAGCGAGCTCACAAAGTGTGATAATGTTTTAGAATTGACACCAGTTTCGATTTCATTTATATTATGCGGATCGCAGATCTCATCTGATCCCCGCTAATCCAATGAGAAAATTAATTCCATATTGGTTGGCATTGTGTTTTTTTATTATCTGTCGCCATCCCTCCAACATTGACACTGTGTTTAACATCAATTTCGATTTTAGGAAAATTGTGCCATTCAATATCCGTTTTAACATAGCAATATTGCTATTAGGTGATGCCAACAACAGCAATGTGAGGCAAAAGTTTGCCACTAACCCGCTAATTCGAGTTGTGAAAGAAGTATTGTATTCAAATCCCCAAAAACTGAGCATCTTAAAATCCAGTCGTTAAAATTTCACGGTACTCGAAAAAGCTTGTACCCGAAGGCTCTTGATATGATAATGTAATTTTCAATTTCAATTCCACTACGTAATTATTGTCTTTTTTGTCAGGAAATTGATGGCACAATGGGGCAAGCGGGGGCGTAATATTACGTTCCGCAAAGGCCCCAGAAAGTTGACAGCCGACAAGAGTCCCCTTCACGTCACCGACAAATTCCACTTGGAATAAATTTAGCCATCGAATTGTTATTTTCCTGTCAGCCAGTCCATTGCTCGAATCATTCTTCAAATTGCTTCAATTAGGCA